CTCAGCTCAGTTGCTCCCTGAAGTGGCCCTGGGACTTCCTGCCTGGACACGAGCCTCAGCTCAGTTGCTCCCTGAAGTGGCCCTGGGACTTCCTGCCTGGACACGAGGCTCACTCACCCACTTCCTGTGGACAACCAGCTTCTTGCCAGCCACAGCTTTTGCCTGCAACACTGGCCTCCGCCCCTTCCAGGGAGTGCCTTGGCCCAGACACTCACCTCACTCAGTGGCTCCTCTGCAGGAAAGGTGAGTGTGTGTGTGTGTGAGTGTGTGAGAGTATGTGTGCGTGTGTGTTTGTGTGTGTGTCTGTGTGTGTGTGTGTCTGTGTGTCTGTGTGTAGGGGGATGGAGCCGGCAGGGCTGCTGGGCTGCTGGTACTGATGCAGTGGAGACCACCCATCAGGGTGTAAATTCAGGGAAGGTGAGGTCAGCCTGCCTGGTGCCTTGTCCCTGGGCTGGGCAAGCCCCTCAGGTGCCACCCTGTCAGCCCCCCATCTTCAGATGTTCCTGTGGTGCTGGCGGGGATGTCTGGGGTGGGGCTGTCCCTGTGCTGAGAGAGCCACCAGTCAGGAGTTGGTTAGCTGGGGAAGGTGCTGGTGTCAGTGGCTGCTTGGGACCGAGGCCAGCTGGGGAGTGGGGCCACAGGGATCAGGGGAGGGGGAAGGTTGGGGGGTCTCCTGTGCCACCTGCCTGCCCATGGCAGGGGCCTGGGTATTGTTTCCTCTTCATTTCTTTCCCTGCCACCCACTGGCGCTGCTGGTGGTGCCCCAAGGGCACCTTTCTCCTCCTTGAGGCTCTCTTTGCTCCCAGAGGGCTGAACAGGCTGAAGGGGAGCTGGCAGGAATGGAAGGGTTGAGGTTCAGAGCATTCTCCCCCAATCCACTGCTCAGCCTGGGCACAGCCTGGCCTGAGGGCCCCTCTGACTTCCCCAAACCCCAGCTCCTGCTCCTTCCACCACCCTCTGTAGCCTCCTCTGCTCCTCTGACTCTACTGGCATCCTGCCAACCCTTGCTAGTCTGGGTATCCCTGCAGGGTGACCTCAGTGTTTGTACCCCCCATTCCAGATCCAGGCAGGACTGCCCGCCCAGGTGTCTTACGCCGGTCACTGTGTTACGAGAGGAAACTGGGAGGGGTGGCTGAGGAGGTGACCCAGGGAAGCCTGCTGTGCTCCCAGGCTGGGCTCCCCGCAGGGGACTGGGGTGGGGTTGGGGACAGGATGGGTGCTGGGCCGGGAGGCACCAAGTCAGGAGGGCAGGAAGACAGGTGGCTGTGGGTGGGAACAGGAGGGAGAACTGCATACTGGGGTTCCAGTATCTTTGGGGACAGGAGCTTCTCTTGGGGAAGCCCCAGCTATTCCTCAGTGGGGCAGAGCAGAGGCAAGTGGAGGAGTGTGAGGGGGGCATTCTCTCTTCCCCCTAGAAACTGCCGATGGGGGTGGGGACCACTGTGGCTCAGACTCGGCCTTAAATCCCACGTGCCAGTTGGTGGCTTCTCCTGTCTCCCCCATCCCAGCTCTCACCCAGGACCTCAGAGCTTGCTGCAGGGGAGGCACCTGCCTGACACCTCTGGCCCAGGGGCTGGGAGGGAGGGGAGAGGTTCTGGATTGGGATGGAGAGTTGGGCGGGAGAGCCCTTATGGGACCAGTGGTGGCAGCCCAGCTTGGGGTTGGCTTGGCCACTGCTGCCCAAGAAGTGCAGGGAGCCAGAGAGGAGTGGGCTGGGGCCAGGCTGGGGGTCTCAGCCAGTCCAATGTTGCTGCCAGAGCTAGGAGCCAGCACCTGCATCTGCAGCTGAGAGTTCGGGGTGATGGAGGCACCATCCCGGGACCCTCTGCGCCCCTGGCCCTGAGCCCTCCTGGCTCTCCTTGCCCTTCCCCACCCCGTGATTCTGCTACTTCACTTCCCTAAGAGCCCAGCGCAGAACTTGCCATGGGGTAGGCACCTCAGGAAGGGCAAACCCAGAGAAGCTGGTGGCTGGGAGGAGTGGTGCTGGGGTGGGGGAGGTGGGACTTCGTGGGAGACATTACTGACCTGTGAACGTCTTCTGGTCTCTGATGGGCTGTGCCAGAGCATTGGAGTTTGGGACCCCTTGGCATCCTGTTTCTACCAAGGTACAGGTAAGAAGTACTGGGGGGCAGAGTGGACTTTCATTGGGTTTAAGGAGGGGGACACAGAGGTGAAAGCTCGGCTCGGATTAAGGCAGAGCTTCCTAAGGCCCCTGGGAGGTCAACAGGAGAATGGGATGCCTTGTAAGGTAGTGAGATTATTGCGCTGAAACATGGGGACATGTAGGCTCCACCTCCTCCCCACAAGTTGGGGAACCGAGAGTCTGCCACTAGGCCGGCACTGTGGCCCCCCTCACCCCAACCCACAGCAGCCCAGCAGATCCGCCCGCAGCCACTTCCTGCAAGGGTCCTGAGGTTGCTCCCAATCCCCGTGGCCCACTGTGCACTTTGTCCCGCCGGCTCACCCTCGAGGGCTGCAGCAGACCTGCCAATGCTCCTGTGCACGTTTGTGTGCAGGTGTTACATGCACATACATGGTCCATTCTCTTGGGTATAACCTAGGCTGGCAAATGCAGGATCACGTGGTAACTCTATGGTGACCTTGCTGAGCGACTGTTAAACTGGTTCCCAAAGCAGCTGCACCATTTTACATTCCCACCAGCAACGTACGAGGGTTCCGTTTTCTCCACATCCTCAGCAATATTGTTTTGTCCATGCTGTTGTTAGCATGCACAGCCTGGTGAGTGGGACATTGTTCGGGGGACTGATTTCTTCCTGTCTCTGCTCTGACACTGGTGTTCACTTTGGCAGGTTATAGACTAGGAAATGACCGTAGGAAGTCGTACCTTGCTCTAATAAATGGAAGGATGGTGATCTATTTTTGGCACAAAAGGAAGCTAATTCAGGAGCTGGTTTACTTTAGTTAACCTCTGAGGCACTGGGATGATGTTTCCTAGTGGCTGCAGCCAGCCCTCTACACCCAGGCATGCGCAGAACAGAGTCTCTGCTGTCCCTGTAGCAACGGCAGAGCTCGTGGACATAGACTAAGTCTGAGGGGACAGGGGAGTCGAGGTGGATGAAGGCAGGTGCATGCAGGACAGGAGGGTCCCCAGCAGGACCGGAAAGCCACCAAACAAGGATAGTGTGTACTCTGTCTTCCCTGCTTCCTGCTGCCCCTCCCCTTGTTTGGGGAGCAGACTGGCTGTCTCTGCTCACCCCACATGGCAGAACATGGCTGCCCACAGCTGCCCAAATAATCTGTTACATTTCCACCCATTTGGAGAATCAATCAGCCACTTGCTTACCACGTTTAATACAGTTTTTCTCAGGACACATATACTCTCTGATCAGACCTCCTTCTTCCCAAAAGAGAAACACTGGACATTGTTAACTGAGTAAAGACACTTCCAGCTCCAGCCTTCAGAAACCCCATGCTGCTATCGCTCAAACCACTTCCTTTAAAATAACTTTCAGAAAGTTGCACAAAGAGATTCATCCTTCAGCTTTGAAGTCAAACCTTGACCCTTCCCTAGGGGTACAAGTCAGTTAATTGCATGCTTAGTCCCCAGAGTAACACTGAATGGCATCACCGGGTTCCGAGCATTAAATGCAGCCTGGACAGCCAAAGATGCTCACAACGGAGGGGTGCAAGCAGGACCCTGTTTTGTGTAGCGATTATCCGAAGGGAACTTTCTACAAAGTCTTGCATGATGGTCATGTCACAGAAAATGCTGTGAACCTCTGTCTGACATTGAAGAGAACTATAGTATTGTCATAAAGTTTACCTTTTTTCACTAAACTTATCTCATAACATTAGTGCCTCTACCACTTACACAATCGAAGTGAAAGTTACTTCCATTAATATGCAAACCAATGCAAGTTATCCTATCCCGGTTTCTTGGGTGGACGGGCAAGATCTTGGGCAGGATTTATTGTGCAATCACTCTCATCTCTCTTCTCTAGGCTAGGATTTAAATTTGTCTCAAAAATGGAAGATGATAACTGGGAGGACTTCGGCTTGGAAGATTTCTTCAATGGAGACTTTAGTAATTACAGTTACAGCACTGACCTGCCCCCTATTCTGCCAGATTCTGCCCCATGCCGGCGAGAATCCCTGGAAATCAGCAAGTATGCCGTGGTCGTCATCTATGCCCTGGTGTTCCTGCTCAGCCTGCTGGGAAACTCCCTGGTGATGCTGGTCATCTTGTACAGCCGCGTCAGCCGCTCCGTCACTGACGTCTACCTGCTGAACCTGGCCATGGCCGACCTGCTCTTCGCCCTGACCTTGCCCATCTGGGCCGCTTCCAGGGTGAATGGCTGGATTTTTGGCACAGCCCTGTGCAAGCTGGTGTCGCTCCTGAAGGAAGTCAACTTCTACAGTGGAATTCTCCTGCTGGCCTGCATCAGCGTGGACCGCTACATGGCCATTGTGCACACTGCATGTCCTCCCACTCAGAAGCGCCACTTGGTCAAGTTCATATGTCTGGGCATGTGGGCCCTGTCCCTGTGCCTGTCCCTCCCCATCCTAATTTTCCGCAGGGCCATCTACCCGCCCTTCTCCAGCCCAGTCTGCTATGAGGATATGGGCAACAGTACAGCAAAGTGGCGGATGGTGCTGCGGATCCTGCCCCACACCTTCGGCTTTGTCCTGCCCCTGCTGGTCATGCTGTTCTGCTATGGATTCACCCTGCGCACGCTGCTTAAGGTCCACATGGGGCAGAAGCACCGGGCCATGCGGGTCATCTTTGCTGTTGTCCTCATCTTCCTGCTCTGCTGGCTGCCCTACCACCTGGTCCTGCTCGCAGACACCCTCATGAGGACACAGTTGATCTCGGAGACCTGTGAGCGCCGCAAGGACATTGATCGGGCCCTGGAAGCCACCGAGATTCTGGGCTTCCTCCACAGCTGCCTCAACCCCATCATCTATGCCTTCATTGGCCAAAAGTTTCGCCATGGACTCCTCAAGATCCTGGCCACCCGTGGCCTGGTCAGCAAGGAGCTCTTGCCCAAGGACAGCAGACCTTCCTTTGCTGGCTCTTCTTCAGGGAACACGTCCACTACCCTCTGACACTCCTGCCTCAGTGCAACCCCTCAGGGTTCCTCCCTTCCCCCCAGCATCCCATTCCAAGGCCCACATCCACTGGCTGTTCATGGTGTGATTGTCACTGAAGCCCCATTGTGGCTACAGGAAGGAGCAGAGGCCACATCCTCACCAGGCCCCCACTGTGTGGTATAGAAAGTCTGCCCTGGTGCCCACCCCGTGCCATCATCACTAGGCCGACGCTGGAGCTCTGCCCATCCTGCCACTGGCCACAGCCCGCTGCTTTGCAAGAAGTGCAAATGAAAACCTCAATGACCTGCCACGTCACACTCACTAGGATGGCTCTTATCACACACACAAAACCTCATGAAATAGTAAGTGTTGATGAGGATGTAGAGAAACTGGAATCCTTGTGTGTTGCTGGTAGAAATGTCAATGGTGCAGTCACCATGGAAACACTGTGACAGCTTTCATCAAAATAGTAAACAGAGAATCAGCACGTGATCCAGCAATTCCACTTCTGGGAACGTCCCCACAGCAATGGAAACAGGGACTCAGACAGAGATTTGGACACCCATGTTGATAGCGGCATTATTCACAAGAGCCAAAAGGTGGACACACCCAAATGTTCATCAGTGAATGATCAGCTAAACAAAATGTGGTGTGAACCTGCAATGAAGTGTCACTGAGCCGGACAATGGATGAAGTGTTGGTGCACGTTACGATGTGGATGGACCTCGAAAACGTTACGCTGAGGGACACGAGCCAGACATAAGTGGGCAAAGATTGTACAATGCTGCTTCTATGAGGAACCTAGAACAGTCAAATTCACAGAGACAGAAAGCACAATAGTGGGTCCTGGGGGCTGGGGGCTGGGGAGAGAGGGACGTTATTGTTTAAAGGGTACAGAATTTATGTTTTGGGTGAAGAGAAAGTTCTGAAGATGGGGACAGTTGTGATAGTTTCTACAACAATATGAAATTAATTAATGCCACTAATCTGCACACTTCAAAGTCATTAAAATGGTAAATTTTTTAAGGAATATACTACCTCTATTAAGAAAAAAAGCCATGGCCCCAAAAAGTACTTTAACCACTAAAGCAATGCTGGAAACACATACTTACAATGTTGTTGTTTAATGAGTCCATCAAATGTCTTTTCTGGTATAAACCACTTTTAGTTGGGTGTTTATTGTACTACTTTCAACCAAAAGCATCCAAACTGCAACAGAGAGGTGGGACAAGGATGAGCAGAGGGCCCGGGTGAGGGGCTTTAGAGGAAGTAGCCCCTCTGCTATGTGTTGTGTCCATAGAGAAGGATTGGAACTGAGGTGGGGACCAGCCTGCCCAGCCTCATCCCCAGCCCCCGCCTCCTGCTGTGGCCCAGGTGTCATGCAAAGAGATGTGTTCTGGGATCCTCTAGGGCTGTAGTCCCCTACTCCTGGGCTGAATACTGGTATTGGTGCCTGGAGTGTAAGGACCTGGGCCACACAGCAGGAGGTGAGTGACAGGTGAAGTAGGGAAGCTTCATCTGTATTCACAGCCGCTCCCCATCGCTCACATCACTGCATAAGCTCCACCTTCTGTCAGATGAGCTGCAACATTAGATTCTCATAGGAGAGGGATCTGTGCGCATGAGGGAGCTAGGCTGCACGCTCCTTATGAGAATCCAATCCCTGACGATCTGATGTGGAGCTGAGCTGGTGATGCCAGCGCTGGGGAGGACTTTCATTAGCAGCGAGGTTTGACTGCATGACAAATGTAGTGCTCTTGAATCATCCAGAAACCATCCCCCGCCAACCCACCATGGTCCATGAAAAAATTGTCTTCCATGAAACCCCTCCCTGGTGCCAAAAAGGTTGGGGACTGCTGCTCTAGAGTATCTCATGACTGTGGGTGAGACAGTCCTCCGGAGTGTCAAGGGTGTGACTTACGGGTACAGAGCGATGAGGGACTCCACCCGATCGGCCTGATCAGGGAGCAGGAAGTCAGAGAGCTCTCCTGAGCTCAACCAGCAACTCCCAAAGGAGTCTCCCTCCCTCTCTCCTCCCCCGCGCAAAGGACACCCAGCCTCTACCCCTCAGTCACTCCATTAGGGGTTTGAAGAGAGCTCCCAAGTGCAGGTGGAAAGGTTTATAACCTGTCCCTCTGAGAAAACAAAGGATTAAAATTAACCCTGCAACATTTATTGCCTGCCAACTGTTCCAAGAGTTGAGATGTAGCAGCAACCACAACAGACTGGAGCTCACCTGCCAGGGCTTGTCCTGGAGGGGCTCTGTTGGGAGGGGCTCTGAGCAGCCTGCAAAGGAAGAAAGCAAGAGGAATTGAGCTTCCGCAGTGACCAAACATCCCCCTCAGCCTGACAACTGCCTGCCCACTGGATCTAGCCCTAGCAGGGAGGCAGGAGCAAAGCTCTGCGCTGAGGGCCCCAGGGCAGGGAACGTCACCCTGGGCCAGAGAGTGCACTTCCTGTCGCATCAGCAGCCAGGACCAAGCCAGCACCAGCACGCCCTGTGTGCTGCTCACTCTGTGCCAGGCACTGTGCTAAAGTCAGGATCACGTGTGACTCAGCTGCTCTGGCCAAGCCTTCAGAACAGCTTCTGAGTCAGCGGGAGGGAAATGCAGGGAAGGGTGTTTAGCAAACACCGCAGTTGCCAGAGGACTCCTGGTGTCCTGCACGGCCAAGGCGGACGGGCCACATGCCTCCCTGTGATGACGCTCAGAGGGAGGAGGCCTAAGCATCGCTCTGGTTCAGGTCTCTGCTCCTTCCTCCTCTCACAACGGCCAGAGGAAACATGGTTCTCCAAGAAAAAGAGAAGGATGTGGACGAAAAGCCGAGAAGAAATGATGAGGCAGAGGTGAATCCCACTGATGTAACTCTATTGTGTTTATCTCTGTCTCTTTCAATTTCTCTCTCTCCCCCTGCCTGCCTCTCTCTCTCTCTCTCTGTGTCTTGTTCTTATAAGAACAGTCCTGGCAAAAATAATTTACCAGCCAAGCCATCACTAGGAAAGGCAAATCCAGGGCCTGCCTTTGAGTGG